GATGATAAGGGGCCTTCTCTACTCAATATAAGAGTTGAAGCATTCGTGTTGCATGTCGGAAAGGGATTGGTCCCCAGACCATCATCAGCCCTTTATGAATTCAATAAGCCATGCAAGTACCTGTAAGTGCAGCAGTTCTCCACTCGTGCAGGGTCAAATTCAGTGCTCCCAGGATAAGGCATAGTTTGGGAGTACCCATCTAGGCTGGTCGGTGAGAAGGGGGTTGGCCGCTCGCCTGTGACAGACATTTATAAGAATCAACCCTCCATTTGACGGCGCCACCAAAGGACTGTTCAACCATTATTTCTAGTAGCATACTGGAGAAGACCTCCCCAGATCGACGCCATTCTCCTGTGGAAACTGGCAAATTTACCAGGAACTTGGCAGAAAGCGGGAGAGTTTCGTGGGGTGAGAGGTAGCCAAGGTGTGAGAATTGTTGGAAAATTAGTTTGAGTGGGAGTTCGTACTGAGACCACCATCTCATCCATTCTGATGCTGCACCCTGCCCGACTTCCCACCCTTCCTCGAGCTGGGCCAACGAAGCCTACCATGGCTCCATTGGCGCTTAACATTATTTCCGAACTCCTTTGTGAGGATGAAGACAGAGTTGAACATCGAGTCGACTGGTTCTCGAATTCATTGTGTAGGGCAAGTCGTATACGGAGCTGCTTCGATCCTGACTGGGAGAATAGAGCAGGTGCCGCGTAAAAAAAACTAATTTCACATTTTAGGGCCAAAATTGGACTGCAATGGAGCCGGAGAAGATCTGAAAATGACTGACCGAAATAGCGCTGCACTCATTCACAAGACGTTTCTTGACAAGCTTTTCGGCGCTATTTCTCTTTATTTTGCTTTTCATGTGCTATCTCAGTCCACTCATATCGGTACAAGCTCTACTGTTCCTGCATTTCGAACCAATCAATATCAGTCTTTCAACGAGTTCTTGCCCTTTACATGGATGTTTTCCGAGTTTTTCGAGTGTCTGCCGATTTTTTTCTTGCTGCTGATGGAACGTCTGATTGGAGCATGAGGCACCCACTTGGATGACTCATGGCTTCTTCCCATGGTTGACAAGATCAGTGCAATTGAGACAAAGGGGCTGGCATCGCATGTTTACAGACGGCAGGGTTGGTTGGGTCGATAGTTAGGAACAACGACGAAGGCCGCTTTGTTGAGCGGCCGCACGCATGGTTCAGTGGTCCAAAGCCGGATTGAACACTGTGCAGTCTTTTGAAGCTGTTTATTAGGTTGTTTCGGAAAGGAATGCGCGTGTTTTTTTTGAAGTGTAAAAAGTTTATTAATAAAACGAAAATTAAACAAGGGTCAATCTAAAAGATAATCTCCATTACTAGCAATGACTTGTTGCCAACTGTACGCAAAAACTTCGCCAAAAGAGCCTCTTTCACTACTTTTCCCCTCGGGTGTGTCGTTAGGTCCGCCGGAGAGGAAATGTAGGTCAAAAGAGCCTCTTTTTGCCAGTTTTCTCGCCGAGTGTGTCGCTAGGTCCGCCCGCTGCCCCTGTGAGCCGAGTGGGTCATTAGGTCCACCCAAGTGCGTCGTTAGGACTTGCTTGAAGTCTTACCACATACAAGCTCGCATTCGAAATTTTTGGTCGAGCATTTTCTAAACTTTTTTTCTCTAAAAAAACAAGGTAGACATAGAAAATATCAAAAGATGCGCAATAAAAACCTCTCTCTAATGGACAAAACTGTTTTGAAAAATCTCCTATAGTAGAAGAGAAATAAATAGACAAAGTCAACACGCGCGCATTCCTTTCGCGCGAACACCGCTAATCAGTTACTGATTACACTACTGTTTAACGCCGGCAGCGTCGCGTTCCTATATTACAAAAATGTGGTTATGTGGGCACCACAAGTCACCCCAAGTAAACGTGTGAGTGCTGATAGGCTACGGCATAAAAGCCGTTAAGCTGAGAGGGTAAAAGCGGCCCTGGTGGCGTAACGGATAGCGCACTCGCCCCCGTAAGAGGCCGTGAGCTGCGTTTTTCGACCCCTGCTGGCACGACTTTTGCCCATAACTCTAGCATTCCTTGTGAATAACTGTGCAGTCTATTAAACCTTCCGTCCCTCTGGATTACTTTACTGGTTCCCATCTCGAATTGAGGAGGTTGAACATTTTTTTACAACGGTAGCCGTGGGCTATTGTGTAGCCTGGAGACTCACTCAAAAGCCGTTATGATTTCAAGCAGTTATCGAAGGCAGCGTATCACAAAACCGTGATGTGAATCCTGTTGGCTAAACTATTATCTCTGAGAGCTCTGTTTCGCCGTTTACGATTTTGGAAATAGTTTTCGCTCAACTTCTTCGAAAGCCTAGCTGACCTAATGGTCCTTATCAAAGGATGGGATTTGCCGAATTTCCTCCTCGAGGATCACTACGCATACCACGGAAAATGTTTTCGTACGACAGCGAAAGGACATTGTAAAAGGGCGGGGAGTCGTACTTGGTAATTGTTGGGGGCCGTATCTACCTTTTGGCGTTTGTTCAGAGTGTGGTGCGACTTCGTGATTTTCCCAGTTCATTCGGGTTATATTACTACTCTCCCCCACGCGCTCGCGACAGAGAAAACTTTTGGAAAAAGTAGGGAAGTTTTTCGGAAGTTTTGAAAAGGTGGTGGGACGTTGGGTAAAATCGAAAAAGTGGGGACAGCGGCCGGAAGGGGTCGTCGACCTAACGCCTTCCCCCCCCCCCAAAAAAAAGAGGGGTTGGTACGACGACACTCCGGCCGTCTGTCCCGACTTTTATCAGATTTTTCCCGTCCTATCCAAGCGAATTAGTAATACTTCACCCTTCAAAGGGTTCATCCCCTCCCAATGAATTCTAGGGTTTACGGCTCAGAAGGATCATTACATTCTTACCAAGATCTGCTGCGGTGCTTTATTCCACTGAGCCGTGAATCCAGTCGTGATCAAAACGAATCCCTCATCATCTGTGGCACTTTCGACGAAGTCATGTAAAGCCTGAAAATACTATATTAATATGCGAGTGGTTTTCCTTTCTGTTATTTTTGAAGAGTAGTCGAAATAATGAGCCGCGTCATAAAACAGGAAGCACGGTCAGTCCTTGGAAGTACAAGAGAGTAAAAAACAGTTTCACTACTCTCAACTCTCCTGGGCCAACATTTGAGAGCTGCATCTCCCATCTGCTTGACTCCTGGGTTGAACTTACCTTGCCTTAGCTGTATCAGCTTAAAATTGGAACTGCACTTAGGTATTTGATCCGATCCCCTAGGGACTTGTTATGGGTGCCACTCCTAATGACCGCTAAAGGTCCAGCCGATTGTAGGTTGTAGGTACCTAAAAGGGGCTTTGTCGCCGACGGATCAATAGCTTGCAACGTCATAAACCCCAGCTCAAACCCCGGCTCAATTTCGCAATGCTGTCGGTCGGGAACTCTCCTGCCGCAGGTCCTGTTACGAAACCCTGTGACGCAGACGGAAGGGCAGCGGCTGCCAAAGCATCGAAACGTGCAAAAAACGTATGGCGAGCCAGGAAACGGGATTTTTCAAGGGGAGGGGACTCCGGGGTGGGTGAGCTACTTATAGTCGGTGAAAAGCTGGAGTGAGCGAAGTCACAACGGCCATAGAGTGCCATGCGGACGAGAGGAGTGCAGAGAAAAAGAGAAGATCGACGCGTTCGGATTGAGTCAAGTTGTCCGTAGCAGGGCACATCGTTGTTGGGGAATCCCCAATAGGGGGGTCGTATTTGGCCGCCAGGAGAGAGGGGGTCGTATTTGGGCTGGGAAAAATTTATTTTGATAGTTGGTTTTCTCGCTTCACGGACGTGTAAAGAGAGGGGGGGGGGGGGTCGATACTTGCTCATTGTTGTAGAGGTGGAGGGGGGCGTGATGTCTCGCTACTTTTCCTGTTTCACATGTGCTATTTACCCTCCCCCCCTCCCTCCCCACCCACCCCCGCTCGACGGTTCGATTCGATGAGGAGGAACACATAGAGGGCCGGAGGGGGGGGGTCGTACAGACTCGACTAAAATCCCCAACCAATGATGTGCCCCTGCTGCAGTCGGTTACAGGGCAGTTGACAACCGAACATGCTCTCGTCTGGGGGTCCAGAGGTATTTTTAATGGCATCTGCTGGCCCAGCTGTTGAGAGGAGAACGCAAAGGAGGAGGGGAAGAGAGAAGGAAGGAAGAAAAAGGAAGGAGGAAGAAAACGGAATGGGAAGAGGCTCCGCGGTTGACAAGTATCCTGAGACGGCCGCAGTCAGCCCTGTACCCCATGTCAACAACTTCTACCAACCTCACCGAGGAAGTTCTGGAAGTTATGCATCTGCCTGGAATTTTTGAAATCCGATCAAGCTCACGCCCAACGGAGGATCATTAAAGTTGTAAAGAGCAGCAGTGTAGTCAGGGCATGGCAGGGGGATGGGGAGACCCAAGCGATCAGTCGTGCTCTCCACGCTTACCACTGCACTGTCGACTGAATTATGACTTAGCTCAACCCAACAAGCCAAGGTTATCGACCTTCTGAATTCGCTTCCTGCAACTTACGGGGGCAACTCGTCAAGAGGAAGGAAGATTTCGTCTCAAAACACTTGCAGCATTAAAAAATGCCCCTTATCTACAGGCGGATACGAGCCCCTCAGGGACTACTCAATTATGACTCCTGGTGAAAAATTCTCCAAAAGAATTATCTCCCGCGTGTAAGGCTCTGACTCCCGAAATAGACATCCAAAAAATTTGGGTCAGCAAAAACACTACGACTTTAACGTCGAACAAATGAAAATGGACTCTTGGTGAAGTAAAATTTCGAAAATAAACTCAGCTAAACTAAATCGTACCCCTTGCAGAGCAGTCGCATTTCGGCAATGCAGTCCACCGACGAAATTCACCCGTGGCATGTAGGGCCGGGCAAAGTCGAAGATTGGAGGATTGTTCACGAAATTGATAGAGGCGTTTCGTTCGATATCAAATGCTGCGGCCACTCCTGGA